CCGTTGTTTGTTTTGTTAAAAATTATGAACAAAGATGCTATAAAGAGCACCTTGTAGGCTTTTGTGTAGATAATATGTTTACCATTGTGGATAAATACTAAGGAGCACAATTAATGCTTCATATAGTATGTGTATGTTTTAATTTTTTAAAAAACTCCAAACTGTCTTCCCAAGTGACTATAGAATTTGGCATTTTCACCTGCAATAAATGAACATTCTAGTTGCTCCACATTCACAAAAGCATTTGGTGGGGTCACTGTTCTGGATTCTGACCTGTTCAGTGGTGGTTTAGTGTTGCTTGACTGTGCTGATTGTTACTTCTCATTGTGTTGATGTACATTTCCTTAGTGACATAAGATGCAAAGGATCTTTTTAATATGTTTTTTATTGATTTCAGAGACAGGAAGTTAGAGGGAAAGAGATAGAAACATTCATGAGGGAGACACATCAACTGTAGTTTTTCTTAGGGTTCACTCCAGCACACCCCCTAAGGCAGTGGTTCTCAACCTTCCTAATGCCGAGACCCTTTAATACAGTTCCTCATGTTGTGGTGACCCCCAATTTCATTTTTACAAATTGAACATAATTAAAGCATAGTGATTAATCACAAAACAATATGTAATTATATATGTGTTTTCCGATGGTCTTAGGCGACCCCTGTGAGGGGGTCGTTCGACCCCCAAAGGGTTCACGACAGAAAGGTTGAGAACCTCTGCCCTAAGGGGATCAAGCTCACAACCCAGGCACGTGCCCTGACTGGCAATCGAATCAGTAATGTTTGGTGAATGACAGATGCTCAACCAAGTGAGCCACACTTGACCAGGGCGAGTTGGAAGACTTCTTTTTTTCTTTAAATTTTATTTTATTTCTTAAAGTATTACAAAGAGTATTAAACAATCTCCTTCCGTCCCAACCTCACCGGGGCCATTCCAATCTCACAGGGGCCATTTCAACCTCACTGGGGCCGTCTCAACATCACAGGGGCCATCCCAACCTCACAGGGGCCGTCTCAGCCTCACCGGGGCCGTTTCAACCTCACCAGGGCCATCTCAGCCTCACTGGGGCCGTCTCAGCCTCACCAGGGCCGTCTCAGCCTCACAGGCGCCGTCCCAACCTCACCGGGGCCATTCCAATCTCACAGGGGCCATTTCAACCTCACTGGGGCCGTCTCAACATCACAGGGGCCATCCCAACCTCACAGGGGCCGTCTCAGCCTCACCGGGGCCGTTTCAACCTCACCAGGGCCATCTCAGCCTCACTGGGGCCGTCTCAGCCTCACCAGGGCCGTCTCAGCCTCACAGGCGCCGTCCCAACCTCACCGGGGCCATTCCAATCTCACAGGGGCCATTTCAACCTCACTGGGGCCGTCTCAACATCACAGGGGCCATCCCAACCTCACAGGGGCCGTCTCAGCCTCACCGGGGCTGTCCCAGTGGAAAACTTCTTTATATGTTTTGCATAATAGTTTTGTACGTGTTCTCTTTTACAAAAATTTTTTCTCCACCTGTGGCTTCTGTTTTTTTTTCTCACGTTCAGCATAACTTTTTTTCTCGTTAATGTTTCAGTTGAGAGATTGGGAGTTTCAGTTTTAATAGAATCAATTAAAAAACAAACTTAAGAATTTGGCTTTCAAAAATTAGACGTGTATAACATTAAGTTCCTTTTATATTTATTTTAAATATATTTTATTGATTTTTTTTATAGAGAGGAAGGGAGAGGGATAGAGGGTTAAAAACATCAATGAGAGAAACAGCGATCAGCTGCCTCCTGCACACCTCCTGCTGGGGATGTGCCCGCAGCCAAGGTACTTGCCCTTGATCGGAATCGAACCTGGGACATTTCAGTCTGCAGGCTGACACCCTATATCCACTGAGCCAAACCGGTTAAGGCTCCTTTTATATTTCATAATATAGATGTGATATTTGTAGCTATGTGTCATCCCTGAAATAAACACATAATGAGTTATGTCTGGAGCTGATGAGATATAAATTTTGTAATGTTATATGTTACAAAATTTCATAACCAAATGAAAGTTTATTAATGTAGTTTAAATTGTACAGCACCATTAGTTCTTACTAGTGTTGTTGTGACCTTATACTGTTTGTCTTGGGTAGAATAACTCCCTTGAGTATATTTTGCAATGGAGGTTTTCTGGTAATAAAATCCCTTAGCTTGTGTATGCATGGGAAAGTTTTTCTCTGTCATATTTAAATAAAATTACTGCTGGGTATTTTATTCTTGCCTGGTAATTTCTCTTTTTTAGTCATTTGAATACTTGGTTCCACTCTCTTCTGGCTTGGAGAGTTTCTGCTGAGAAGTCAGATGATATTCTGATGGGTTTTCCATTGTAGGTTACTTTCTTCTTCCTGGGTACTTTGAGAATTCTTTTTTTTTTTGCCATTAATTTTTGACAGTTTTAATACAATGTGCCTTGGAGAGGGCCTCTTTGGATTGAACTGTGTAGGTGTTCTACTTCCTTCTTGAATTTGAAGATCTAGTTTTAACATTGGTTTGCGAAGTTCTCATCCACTATTTGTTTGAATAGCCTTTTAGTTTCCTTCTTCCCCTCTCTTCTTCCTCTTAGTATGCCTATAATTCTTATGTATGAGCCTTTTCTGATGGAGTCCAATTGTGCTCATAGAGCCCTTTCTTCCTTTTCATGCTCAGGTCTCTTCTTTCTTTGCTCCATCTGTTCAACTCTGTTTCCTACTCTCAGTAATTCACCCCTAATCTCCTAAATTGCACACTTTATTTCTAAGAGTTCTGATTGGTTCTTTTTGAAAGTTTCAATCGATTTGGTAAAGTACTTGTTTTGTTCATTAATTTGCGTTCTGAGTGCATTGATCAAATTGCAGGTATTTTATCACATCTTATGAGTATTTTCAGAACTGTAATCTTGAATTCTGTGTCATTTTTAGCACATATTTCCATGCGCTGCAGCTTGCTCTCTGGAGATTTTTTATTTTCTTTCTGAGCCTTCTCATCACCATCGTTACTAATTTGTTAGTCTCCACTGTTTAGGCATTTATTGTTGACCTTTCTCTAGCAGCTTTCTTTGAAGAGGATTTCTACCATTTTACAGCAGGTAGCCCTGAATAATAAGATTATTAACTCTGTGAACTCCCAGAAGTGACTACAGCCGTGCTGCTTGGGTGGGTGTTTACTTTGCTCTTATTGTAATGGTGACCCCAGACCTCTATGGGTCCCCCCACAAGCCTCACCTGGTTATCCATCACAGAAGTCAACAGCGATTCTATTGCACTAGGTCTCTGTGTGCTGATACTGTGCTCTTTGAGCAAGGGCAACTGGGAGCGAGTTTTGGGAATCTGAGGGAAGGTAGCGTTCTGAGGCTATATTTCTTTGTCTGAAATACCATCACCCAACAGCAGACAGTCATGGCAAAACCCCCATGCTGTGTCCTTGCCCAGAAATCTCTGCTGGCTCAGCTGTTATTCTCACTGCTCACCCTGCTGGAGAACCCACTGAGACTCTCTGTTCTGCCCCATGGAAACAACGAATACCACCAGCTTCCCCCCCACTCTGGATGGAGCTGGTCACCAGCTCCTCCTACAGGGCTGTGTCCATGGCCATCTGGCCTCTTCTCCCTACTTCCCCTTTTATTCCTGGTTGCCCACCTCTAGATGTTTCAATGCGCTGATCTCTCAGTCAGGCTTCTATGTTAAGCAGGGAATTCCTTGTTGAGTTGTAGTTGATAACTTGTTCAAGTTGCAGGAGGAGAGGCCTGGGTGATCTCTCTAGCCTCCATTTTTCTGACGTTGCTCTCCATGTCTTCAACTCTTAATTTCTTATCTGTTATCACACCTTTTCACTATTCTGTATTTATGTCACTCCACTTGGTGTGCAAAGTTGTCGATTTGTTAGTGTCCCATGTGGACTTCCCTCTATCAAAACTTTCAATGTACTGTGCAAGTTTTTTGATTCTTTAGCTTGGTCATATCTTTCATTGATAATTCTGTCATATTTTTATATTGGTGCATTTTTTTTAGCTTCCCTATTATGTTTGGTTTATTTCATAGATATTTTTATGTTTGGGCCATGTTTTTTAGTTTTTCTCAGTGTCTTAGTATCTCTTGATGGGGTTCAGGAATTTAAACAACCAGGCCTTATAAACTTTAAATTTCTGTCAAAATTGTTTGGCAGCAGAGTGTGTGTAAGTTCCAAGTTTAAATAATTTTCTATTTCTTCCCCAGAACCCTAAATATCTTTTTGTTCTTGATAACTGTCTTCAGTATTGCAGTCTCTGTAGGGTTTGAACAATGTCCCACCTTTTCTTTTTTCTTTCTTAAATATTTTTTAATTTATTTCAGAGACGAAGGGAGAGGGAGAGAGAGATAGAAACATCAATGATGAGAGAGAATTACTATTTATTTTTAATAATTCTTTATTGTTGAAATCATTACAGTGTCCCCCAGAGAGAGAATTATTGATCGGCTGCCTCATCCACGCCCCACACTGGGGATCGAGCTTACAACACGGACATGTGCCCTGACCAGGAATCAAACTGTGACGCCCTGGTTCATAGGTTGATGCACAACCACTGAGCCATGTGGGCCAGGCACACACTTTTTCTCTTTAGCAGCCATTACAATGCATTCACCATGTACCATAATGCCATTATTTTTAGCAACCTGTATCATGCAAAACAGAAACACATTTTTCAAGATGTTGCAAAAATACAAGGTCATTGAACACACACAGTACCCTCATCTCTTATCTCCTCAGAGAAAAAACTGGGAATTGGGAGTTTTATCATACTGCCACTGTTTGCTAGGGTGTTTTGAAGTATTGGTGACAAATGTAAGTAACTTTTTAACCCTCTTTTATCTGACTTTTTCTCATTGTACCTTTCTTGGTTTGTTGTGAACATTTAACTTAATTTTGGAGTACTCAAAAATATCATTTGGTCAGTAATTGCTGGTAAGTTCAGTGTGCATTCCCCTGAGTGCCATAACTGTCAAACTTTATTTCATATCTTTCAGCTATCTTATCTGAAGACAACCAGGCCATTCTGCAAAAGCCAAAAATAAGAGATTTATTCCCTAAAATAATACTGGTAAGATATGGAAGGTATGGCTTTGATAATGTACATTTAGTGAAAGCCTTGGAATATGAGGAGGAATGTAAGATGAGAAAAAATTATTTTATTTTTTTAAAAATATATTTTATTGATTTTTCACAGAGAGGAAGGGAGAGGGATAGAGAGTTAGAAACATTGATGAGAGAGAAACATCGATCAGCTGCTCCTGCACACTCCCCACTGGTGATGTGCCTGCAACCAAGGTACATGCCCTTGACCGGAATCAAACCTGGAACCCTTGAGTCCGCAGGCTGACGCTCTATCCACTGAGCCAAACCGGTCAGGGCAGAAAAAATTATTTTAACATGGACAGAAGTAACCTGGTACAATTATTCATAATAAAATCATTGTCACTTAATGAAATCGATGATATTACACATTTGGTGTAATACTCCCGATTTAAATTTGTCATATTTGTAAATTAATGTGTTTCTAAATATGAAGACCAAATATAATTTTTTTAATGAAAATCTATGAATTTACATAATCTATGCTGTAAATATAAGAATTATTACACTGTAGTGTGGCATTAAATTTTCAATCATTTCTAGAATATAGTGATTTATAATGCACATATAAAATTTAAATGCAATTAATTTGTTGACTTTTTGTTGTTGACTTCTGTATTAAGGTATCATTATACTTATATTGAGAAATAATATTTTTGATACAAATGTCTATCATTTTTATAACTTAGGAATCTTTTTTAAATACGTCTTTATTGATTTAAGAGAGAGAACTGGAGAAGGAGAGATAGAGAGAGAGAGAGAGAAATATTCATGGTGAGAGAGAATCATTGACTGGCTGGTTGCCTGTTGCACACCCTGCACTGGGGATCAAGGCCACAGCTCAGGCATGTGCGCTGACCAGGAATCAAACTGTGACTTCCTGGTTCAAGGTTTGTTGCTCAACCTCTGAGTCACACCACCCTGGAAAGAGTGTTGTTGTTTTTATACACTTCATGGTTTAATAGTTATCACAGAATAGTTACTTGGAAAAAGAGTACATGTTTAATGAAATTATAGCTGTCACTAAAGGCCTTTCCATCTTCAATGATTACCAGAATACATGCAATGAAGACAGAAGTTATCAATGCAAGGAGCATTGGAAAAATTTTAACCAAGGGTCAAATTCTAATATACATCAGAAAATTCAGCTTCCAGAGAACCATTATCAAGGTGGAAAAGTCTTTGACCAATTGTCAAATCAAACTATACTTCAGTTTATTCCTACTGTGGCAAAAACAAACAAACGAAGAAAATGTGACAAACTTTTGAAACAATCTACAAATCATACTGAACGAGATTACATGCACACCGGAGAGAAAGCTTGCAAATTTAATTCCTGTGAGAGAATCTTCAGTCAGATACTCAATATAAATAAACTTAAGAAAATTCGTACTGGAGAAAAACATTACAAATGTAAAGAATGTGGTAAAACATATAATTTTCTTTCAAGTATTCGTAAACATGAGAGAATTCATACTGGAGAGAAGCCTTATAAATGTAGAGAATGTGGCAAAGCCTTCAGTGTTGCCTCAAACCTTAATCAACATCAGAAACTTCATAGTGGAGAGAAGCCTTATAAATGTAGAGAATGTGGCAAAGCCTTTATCTATTCCTCCTCCCTTAATAAACATCAGAGAGTTCATACTGGAGAGAAGTCCTATAAATGTAGAGAATGTGGCAAAGCCTTTACCACATCCTCAAACCTTACTTATCATCAGAGAGTTCATACTGGAGAGAAGCCTTATGAATGTGGGGAATGTGGCAAAGCCTTCAGTGTCTCCTCAAACCTTAATCAACATCTGAAACTTCATACTGGAGAGAAGCCGTATAAATGTAGAGAATGTGGCAAAGCCTTTACCAGATCCTCACTCCTTACTTATCATCAGAGATTGCATACTGGAGATACGCCCTATAAATGTAGAGAATGTGGCAAAGCCTTTGGTGTGGCATCTACACTTACTTTTCATCAGAGAGTTCACACTGGAGAGAAGCCTTATAAATGTAGTGAATGTGGCAAAGCCTTCAGTTTCTCCTCAAACCTTAATCAACATCAGAAACGTCATACTGGAGAGAAGCCTTATAAATGTAGTGAATGTGGCAAAGCCTTCAGTTTCTCCTCAAACCTTAATCAACATCAGAAACGTCATACTGGAGAGAAGCCTTATAAATGTGGAAAATTCAGTAGGTCCTCAAGGTGTAGTATTCCTCAGAGTAGTCACACTGGAAAGAAGCCTTATAAATGTACTTAATGTGACAAAGCCTTCTGTGACTCTTCAGACCTTAAGCAACATCAGAAACTTCATACTGGAGAGAAGCCTTTTACATGTAGAGAATGTGGCAAAGCTTTTGCCAGATCCTCAGGCCTTACTTACCATCAGAGACTTCATACTGGAGAGTAGCCTTACAAATGTAGAGAGTGTGGCAAAGCCTTTAGTCAGTTCTCAAACCTTAGTAAGCATCAGAGAGTTCATACTAGATAGAAGCCTTACAAATGTAGAGAATGAGGCAAAGCCTTTAACCAGTGTTCTTGCCCTATTGTTCAACAAAGAGTACATACTTGAGACAAGCCTTACAGTTTCAAGCAGTGCCATTAGTTCTTTACCAGCAGTGAGAACTTACTCAGGGCCAAAGAATTCATATGGGTATGAGGCCTTATGAAAGGGAAAAATGTGGAAAAGCCTTTAAAGATATTCGTGATTTACTGTACATGAGAGACTTCACAGTGGAGAGAAACCTTAACAGATGTAAGGAGTGTGGCAAATCCTTTCCTCGACAGTGTGATCTTATTAAACATCAGATAATTCATTATGAAGAGAAGCCTTACAAATGTGAAGAATTAGGCACATTTTTTAATGACCATTGGTGTCTTTCTCAACACAATACAATTCGTACTGGAGAAAAGAACTATAAATATATTGAGTTAGTCAAAGCTTTTAATCAGGAGTGTTGTCTCACTCAACAAAAAAATATAATGGAGTGAAACATTACCAAAGGAGAATGTGGCAAAGCTTTTAACCTGTACTCAAACATACTCTTAATTGGAGGGAATCATTCTAAATAGAAACAGTAAAAATATAAAGAATTTTCCCAAAGATTTAACCATTGTACTAATTTCATTGAGAATGATCAAATTAAGCTTTATAAATTGTAACACATGTGCCAAAGTGTATATTCTCATTTATATGTTATTCAACATCTGATAATTATTGCTGGAGTGAAGCCCAGCAAATATAAAGAATGTGGCAAAGTTTCACTCGGTACATGAACCGTATTTGACATCAGAATTCATACTCAGGAGAAACAATGAAAATGTAAACAATGTCCAAAAGTCATTATTCCACATTCATAATTTATTCCTCACATTGAAATTCCTAGCAGAGGGAAACCCTAAAACCAAAGAATGTGGGAAATCCTGTAGCTGGACCTGCAGTCTCAGTCAATATGAAGGATTGCAATTTGGACTTAATTCTATGTTCATGATATAGGAGGAAAGACTTTTGTTCAAAAAAAAATATGCTTCTCAAAATCCTAAAAATTTTTCAAAGCATGTATTTGAAATTAAGTTTTAAAGTATCAGAATTCACACTAAATGAAGAGTCAATACTTCTAAGGTATTACTCTAAATCAGAATACTTATAGAGAATAATCCAATGTTTTAATGGACATAAGTGATTTTTAGTATGCTTGAATATATTAAAAACAATGTTTTCTTAAGTATAATTGCTTACAGTGTTGTCTATTTTTTATTGACATTATTTGAGACATATTGAAAAGGCAATATTAATGTGATTCTGCTCCCATATCACTGATGCTACCATGTTTTATTCCAGGTGTATGTGTGAAATCATGGGGTTGGTACTTCCTTAAAGACCTGTCAGCACTTGTATGTTACAGAGGTTTCACTGACATATACTTTTCCATGGAATAGTGCATATATTGTAAGGCACACTGCTTTAAGACCATCTCACTGGAGATGGTGGTTGACTTAGAATTTTCTTTTATGGCATCACGAAGGGCAACATAAATTTCAACTAAATTTGCCAATTACTCTTTCAGGAAAATATGGTGGCAGTTCATAAAAATCCTGATGTATCTTCATAGTAGCCATAGGTAGAAGTGATGAACATTTGTTGATGTGGTGAAATAAAGAAGATATGAGGCATATCGGAGAAGGTATATAGACCACTCATCCCTAAGTGCATAAAATTATTGTATGTCCATGTTTTCTAAATGATTAGCCTCCATTCAAAAGAGCAAATGAAGCACAGTTATTACATTATTATATTCCCGGCGAGTTCAGGATGGCTTGTAGGAGGGCCGACAACACAATAAATACATTATACAAAAAATATGAATTTATCCACAACCATCAGCCGGTGGGAATGTGCTTCAACAGGGCAACACACCCATTCTTTTTATAGGCCTGACCCAGAAGAGGCACATAACATTTTCACTGACATCCCATTTGCCAGAACTTTGTCATTCCTGGCTTTAATGGAAGCCGGGAAATGTAGTCTTCGGCCAGGAGGTAATGCGTCCAGCCAAAAATCAGGTGTTCTGTTATTAAAGGAAGGAGGGGGAAATGAAAAATCTGTCTCTGAATCAGAGTCCTTCATAAAAACACTGATTTCTTGTTTTATTGGAAAAAATTAGTACTTGCTCATTGTCTTAAGACAGTTATTGGCCTTCAATATAAAGAAGGAAATTAGGCCAAAACCGGTTTGGCTCAGTGGATAGAGCGTCGACCTGCGGACTGAAAGGTCCCAGGTACGATTCCGGTCAAGGGCATGTACCTGGGTTGCGGGCACATCCCCAGTAGGAGATGTGCAGGAGGCAGCTGATCGATGTTTCTCTCTCATCGATGTTTCTAACTATCTCTCTCCCTTCCTCTCTGTAAAAAATCAATAAAAAAAATATATTTAAAAAAAAATAAAGAAGGAAATTAGGATACTTGCTGCCCATGTAATT